TGCTGAGTCCCCAGGGGGCACAGGTTTATCAAATTCATCGTCCTCATTTGGAACACTCACAAAGGCAAAAGGAAAGTGCTCTGCTCCCCTCCGTCCTCCTCACCCCCTTCCTCTTCGGGGTGTTTTAAACTAGTCTTCGTGTTGACAGTTATTACCTGGCAACAGGAGCTTCTGTAGGAGACGACACATCACACTACGATTGTCGACACCCCAGCGTGACCTCTTCTGTCACCCATCCTCCCACCGGTTTGTCCTCTGATTTTCTCTGGGCACCTTCCCAGCTCCCGGATTTGTATAGTGTAGCATCTTCTAATATACGTGGTTTTTCCAGTTTTTCTGAGTGTTTTGGGTAAAGCGAATTAAAGTTGTGCCTTCTGTAATGTTTACCGACTGACTTCAAAAAATAAAAAAAAAACCCAACAATGACAAAGTAACGAATCACCATTGTCCAAAAGTAAATACTTAATGTTTAAATTGTTTTCCTTAAAAATTTTGTTCTCCACTTTGACTGAGGAATAATGATTTTGTTATTTTCTGTTTTAATAGATAGATTCATTTACAAATCTCGGTTAAACCTATTGTTTCTGGCCTCAAATGTATGTTTTAATGGATACAAATACTGGAACATTAACATAGTCTCTGTTAATTACTGGTCACTGAAACTAACTTTCAAATGCCATTGCTCTTTACCGAGGATTAGATTTCTCCCAGTGCGTTTGTTTTAAGTTTTAAACTTCAGTCCTCTGGCGTGGCACGTTTTAGTCTTAAGAAGCACAAACTAGTCTTTCCGCAGCTCTCACTATTCGATAAGAGCCAGCTGGAGCCGAGGCTGCAGAGGTCACGTGAGTGGCGACCGGCTCACCTGGGAGGAAGCTCCCAGGGCTTCTTTTGATGTGTTCTATCTGCCTTGGATCAGAATTTTTAGAACAATGCAGTAAAGCCTTCATTTTGTGTTGAAACGCACAGAACGAGTTCGCCGGTTCTTCTCAGGCGGGTCAGCAGTCCAAACATTCCACGCCTAATTTACCAAGGACGGTTCCTACATGGAAATGTCATGCGAGGGGCTAGCCGTCGCCTTTGTGATGGGATTGAATGTCTGTCTCACGGTCGCGTTATCCATTTGTTTACATGCCGACGTCTGATTTTACTAAAAAATTATAACTTCAGCCTCGGTATGAATTCTGCCTGCTTTTCGATGTCTATGTTACATTTTGCTTTCTGTGTAATGTAATTATCGTGATAAGTGTTTACTGCCTTGTGAAATTAACGATTTCATTACAGGTAGGGGTTCATACCCATTATTTTATAGATATAATTTCATTTACTTCTGGATAACATCATTTAGATGTTCTGTTTTAAAGTTCAAGCCAGACACACAAACTAAGAAACGTTTATGCGAATGAGTTTTCAGATACAATAATGAGGAAGTGTTTTCAGCTTGGCTTAACTGACATCATTGCATTTGTGCAGGAATTCAGGTGACTGGGTGACACTAGAGAGACAGGATCGTGCAGTGGTTGAAGCAGCACGTTTGAGCCCAGGGCTGGCTAAGTGGCATCCTAGCTTACTGCTCACAGGCGTGTG